CCCCCCCCCCCCCCCCCCCCCCCCCCCCACAAAAAGGCGTGCAGGGACTTGACCCCGAAAAAAAAATCCTGCAGAAGCAGTGGACGTTAAAAAAAATTCCTAGAATCTGAAAAAGTCCCCCTCCCCCCATCACTTTTCTAATGGTCCGTCCCTTATGTTATACGTATCATGATGGCTTTCCGATTGAAATCTCCCTTTTGAAGCATTCTCCAGCGCTTAAAAATATAACAAGTCGCTTTTCCACGCTTTCGCGGACGTGCAAACCAAACAGGTCAGCCTCTTCGCGGGGTAACCGGACGTGAAAAGAAGTTGCTTTTTTGGCAATAATCAGTAGCGCAAGAGATTTCTTTGCCTGCCGATCCAGACGAATAGCTTCCGCCTGTTGTTTCCCGGTTTGGTTTAAATCAAGTGCTGAATCATTGATGGAGGTTACGGGTGCATTTTCTGTTCCTGTTATGAGAAGCTGAAGCTACCTCAACTTGCGCTAATACAGGCCAGTATTCTTGCCTCGATCGAATATGCAATCGTGACGCCGTGTACCCCTGGAGTTTGCAAAAGCATTCGAGAATGCATAAGTGAAGCATTCAAGTCGAGTTCAGAGAAACTGAAAAACCAGGCCGGTTTCGAAGGTAGTTTCTAATGGTTTTCTGGGTGTATTTCGAGACAGGCGTTATTGAATCTCGTGCGTCGATCTTTATTCGGACAAATTCAGGCCCAAATATTTGGCTATATGCGCTGAACATAATAATTTTTAAGTATCTATTTTCAGTCTCTATGAAATGTTTGCTTTTCTTCCAGAATGTATGAAAAGGAAACTGTATTTCTATTAGAAATGAATTTGCAAAAGCAGCCTGAGATATCAATCGCGTTCCGCCCTCCTCGTACACAATGAGATTTGGCCTGGAGGGGGAGACGTCTGTAATTTCAGCCGTTAAGAAGCTATTCGCGACATGTTGAAGGTCGAAGGTGATTGATTCGTTAAACAAAAAGACGTGCTAAGTCGAAAACAAATTCCCTCAAACACACAAAATCGCCACTCCCAAAGTTAAACTCGAGCAAAACAAATTAATATATGAATTTATCAATCAAATAATTACTTATGCGATCAATACTGAAAAGAAAAGAAAAGTAATTCCTGAGGTCTCCTTATTCTATCCAATGTCAATTCTTAATTCACACATATCAGTCTTCTAATGTCAAGCCAAATTTTCCCGTTGTGCATGTTGACGCAAATATTTCTCGATCGCTTCTAAAAGGTAACCATCGGTATTTTCTTGCATCCTCATAGACTGCTTCAGACCAAATGGCAACAGCATGAGTTATGCCTTCAGCGCAGGCGAATATAGCTTCCTTCCGCAGAATCTACTCGAACTTTGCGCTTAGCACTAATTGCAACTGGTCTGAATTACAGACATGCTGCAAAAACCAAACCTCTGTACTTACCCTCTGGTGTTTCCATTTCGTTTTTGTAGTATGTTGTCTGTTGTGATCCGATCTCCTCGATGCGGCTGTCGACTTTGGAAATTCGCAGCTCGTTCATCTCCGTTTTCCTGTTTATCGATTCCATTCTCAAAAACAGCGCAACGATCAACAACAACGAAATAAGAGAAAGAAACGAAGAACCTTTGTGGAGAACGTCGCCACATTTGAAGGAAGATGTCGAAGATTTATCCATGCTCTATTCGATTTAACAACGAAGGTCTCAGAAACTCGACTACCGAGCTAACTGTTAGATTTCTTTTCCGCAGTTTCACTTTATCCTGCACAGGGTTCACCTTTATTTACAACAAAGAAAATCAAACGGGAAGAAAAAAATATATGGAAAATGCTAGGCACGCAGGGTACGATGGTAAGGGAGTCGGTCAGTGCACAGTTGTGTGCTCAGTTACCTGGCCTTTGAATGGCAGCGAGGCCTGGAGGTGACCCTCCACAACTAGTTAGCATTATAGCARCTTGATTTACTCAACAAAAGCTGTGAGGTCTCAGTATCAAAACAAGGTCACCTCCAGCCTCGTTGCTATTCAAAGGCCAGGTCACTGAGCAGAAAAATGTAAATTTGTTTATTCACCTGGCTCTCCTAAGTCTTCCTAACAACAACAATAACAACAACAACAACAACAACAACAACAATAACAGTAACAACAACTTTTATTTCACCCCGGAGTTAGAAATTACAATGTTTTGCTAGAGTAAAAACAAAACGTTTGTGTACGCACATACAACATGTGCAACTGGAAGCCTCAGCAGAGCAAGCAATATTACTTTTCCCGAAAATCAAAATTCCACATATTTTTATCAGTATCCTCAGTTGAAGTTCCTGAGCAGCTCAGTAAATTAAATTCCCAAGGTACTCAAGCACGTGCTTGAAGTTCCCGGAATTAAGGCCTGAATCAAGAAACGCCAGAAACCTGTGAATAGCTGGTGATTTTATTTAAGAGGGTGTCAGATTTTCATGCGTAAACCAAGCCAATAAAGGCAAAGCTTCGAAGCGGCTTAATTAATTACTGTAAAGTTTTGTTTTTAATCTTTGTACTAAATGTATAATAAACTAAATTAGACCTGCGACTTTTGAAACTATTTTAGACTGTAAAGGTTCAACAGTAAATAGCGGTACACTTACATGTGTCATAATGTGTTGTAAGATCTCAAACAGTGAATAATTTTCTCCAAATAAGCCCGTGAATAATTTTCGGTCTAACCGTTAGCCGAGTACGAAATCTGGGGATCTGGCACGAGGTAAAGACAATTCTTTTTTCGTCGATCGTCGACGGGGGTTAATGGACCTGTTCGGCGATACGGCGGCCATTTTGAATTCTATGGTTTCAAATAGCTATTATGGGATGCTTAGGGGCAAATACATACCAACTTGCGCCCCCTCCTCCCGAGCATCCCATAATAGCTATTTGCAACAATAGAATTCAAAATGGCCTTAAATCCTTAATAGGTCTATTCCTTCAAGAGACTCGGAAACAAGTAGCCTTAAATGTCAGTCATCTCCCGCCCTAAGCCTAAACACCGGGCCGGAGAAGGATTAGACCGAGAATGGGTACGTGCAAAGAATGTACATTTGCACGGCTTGACAAGAGTGACACAGCATAATTTGATCGACAGGCGTCTTCTTACCCCAGTACCCGAGAGTTGTTTGACAAGAGATTCCTTCAGTATACTCAACACCAGAGTTATTGCATTTTTTGCGTCAAAAGATTTCGGGTTAATGTTAATAGCCGGGGGGGTGGGGGGGGGACTCCAAAAGGCCGGGGATGTTCGTCGTAGCCTCTTAAAAAAAGCGGTTTTGGTACTTCTCAGGGTGTTCAGCCTCAAAAGATCGACAGCAGCAGCTTTCGCAGTACCTTTTAGGGTATTGTGCCAAAAACAAAAAATATGACAGAAGATGTTTGACAATCAACTTTACGAGCAGCAGGTATTCGAAGCAATCGTCATTGTCACTATTAAAAATTACAAAAGCGTCAGTTTGTGTGTTTTTTTAGAATTTTTACCTCTAAGGGGTGAAAAATAAGTCAAGCCACGCCCAAAAAACAGGATCTTGGTACCTCTAAGGGATTCTTTTCAAAATTTTCGATGAGCACCCCCCCGTCCCTATGATATGGGAGTCATCCCCCGGCTAAATTGCAGATTTCTGGCAGTATAAAACAAAGGTCCGAGCCAGTTCAATTAAGGAAGCAAATTGAAGGCGTCAAGCCAAGGAAAATAATAATTGAAAAAAAAAACAGTTCGTGACGTGTCGCACGTGCACAGAAATCTTGCTGACTCATTGCCTCGCTGACTCATTCTTTGTCAGCTAGCGTGGAATCTCAATTAGCCTTGCACTCTTAGCCTGGAGGCGTGTTTGGAAGTTTGATCCAATTTGAGAAACAAAAAGCACTCGTATACTGCAGCAAAAATGTCCGGCTACAAACTTTACTACTTTAACGTTCGTGCTAGGGGCGAAATCTGTCGACTCGCCTTCGCTGCGGCCAACATAGAATTCGAAGATGTTCGTTTGCAAGGCGACGAATGGGCCAAGGAAAAAGCAAGTAAGTAGAAAGTTCTGAGCACTTAACTAAACTCTGGGGTATTAGGCTTAAGTGTAAGTGAATGCAGATTTAAAATCTGTTTTTTCTAGTAGCCGTCGATTGATATAAGTTTGGTGAATCGATACAGAGAGAGAGAGAGAGAGAGAGAGAAATAAACGAAAATTGTTAGCTTTAATGTCGATTGGTATAAATTTGGTGTATCGATACAAAGAGAGAGAGAGAGAAAAATAAAGGAAAATTGTTAGCTTATGTCAATTAAGCTGGAAGCGATTAGCTTCTCATGTCACGGTACAGCCTTCGACTGGGCTGGACGGAATTTTGATCAGAAACGAGTCTCGCTGCACTCAAGGCTGCTACGTTCTAGTTTCTCGATACGCTTCACTTGTGATTTTATATTTGTGCAGTTTCTTTGGAGCAGCTGCCATGTGAAACTGAAACAATTTGACCGTAATTCCAGCTCAGTTCACCGTACTATTTTAGTGCAGTTCGATCTGGTTGATTTAAATCATTGTATGTTTGAAACTAAGGTAATGATCAAATGAAGACATGAGTATTCGCCTACTTCGATATTTTACTTCCTTGAAGTGCGCAGTCGGTGGGGGAGGGGGGTGGGGGAATTGGGACGGAGAATTTGACACCAGTGGCATAATGTGGGTGGGGAATTAGAACAAGTTCCTGCAAGATTTAACGGAAAACCATGCTCGTTTTTGGCATATTTGTGGCTGGAGAATTTTTTGAATGGCCTGCTAAAGCAATGTGCTGATCTGAAAACTTGTAAAATGTGTGAGTTTGCTTATATATTTTTTGTCCAATTTTGTTGAAATTGTAATTTTTTGCCAAATCATGTAAATTGTTGGTTTATTAGAATTGGGGCACTTGATGGGG